CAGGGGTGCATGAGTGGCTCTTTCCCAAAGTTCTCCCATTTCCTCTCCACAAAATTCCTCAGGTTCCCGTTGGGAACACGCCTCCCAATGCTGCAACCAAGCACCGTGAGTGGAGGGCGTAGCCACCTCCCTGCAGACCTTCCGGCAGCTGCTGCACTGGAGGCATGGCCCGAGGCTCTGGCCCGCAGTCCCGGGCAGGAAACCAACATCTCTCCAAAAAAGCAAACGCCATGCCCCTGAGAGCTCAGAGGAACGCCTTCCCGGGAACACGGTGGTGACACCTTTGGCAAGCCGCAGCCCCTCTCATCGGCCCACATTCCTCCCAGATGAAGGAATCAGGGGACTTGCCCGGTTGAAGACAGGTTCCCTTTCAGCAAACAGGCCAGCCATGACCGAGTGGGATTTATCCCAGGCCTGCAAGGCTGGCTCAACATTCAAAAGTCAGTTAATGTAATTCATCACGTCAACAGGCTAAGGAAGAAAAATCATGATCATATCAATAGATGCAGAAAGAGCATCTGACAAAGTCCAGCACCCATTCATGATTAAAAACCTCAATAAACTAGGAACAGAGCAGCGTTTCCTCCACAGATAAAGAACATCTACAAAAACCCTACAGCTGACATCACACTTCATGATGAGGAACTAGGTTTCCCACTAAGATCGGGTAGAAGGCGAAGATGCCCCTCTCACCACTCCATGTAACACCATCCTGGAAGTCCCTGCTAATGCAACAAGGCAAGAAAAGGAAATAAAAGTACACAGACTGGGAAGAAATAAAACTGTCTGTTAGCAGACGACATAATTGTCTATATAGAACGTCCAAAAGAATTCATACATACACACACACACACATGCGTGCGCGCACGTGCACACACCCCTCCTGGAGCTAATAAGTTAAGTGATTACAGCAAGGCTGCAGGATACAAGGTTAATATACAAAAGTCAATCACTTTCCTGTGTACCAGCAGTGAACAAGTAGAATTTCAAATTCAAAACACAACATTATTTACATTACCACCCCCCCAAAATTAAATACTT